TGTGATGCTGGTCTCCAAATCTCGCCTGTCAAACGAGGCAAATTGATGCACCGAACATGTCGACCACTCAACTTACAACTTCCACTTGTCAAGGATGAATGATGAGTGGTGAATGGTGATTGGGGCTACCACACGTGTTACCGGTAAACAGGAACCACGCATTCCTACACCATTAAGTCAATCACTGTCACTGGCATTCAGTGGATACCTCTACACACAGTCACCTCTTCCCTTGGTAGCCTCCTCTCCTCACTGCTAACCCCCTTGCCCAGCAATCCACACCCTTCTGCTTACACTCTCCACATCCTGATGGAAAGTCTAGTTGTGTCTTCAAGTCCTCCCAAGGCATCGAGTGCAGCACAAGGCGTCTCCACTCCTCGGTGTCAATCGCAGCTGCATACATTGTTACCTCCTTCTTCTCTCCTCCACTTACTCGCACCACTCGCCAGCTACTGTGCATGCCTGCAGACATCGAAGGATTTGGCAGTCGCTTTCGTCATGCCACATCTCTTCACAGTTGTCTCGAGGTGAGTGAAGTGCCCTACGTGGCTGACTACACCACAGTACTCATCCATATCTCTTCGGCTAGTGCCAATGCCTGTGGAAGAATTGGGCTAGTGTAGCCAACTTCCGTAAGCAGGTGCAAGAGCGTTTCAGAGGAGGGGTGGAGATCCTCCTTCGAAAAGACGCATTGGTGCTGCAAATGGATCAATTGGCCAACTAAATCATTTTTTATCGGCTGCTGTGGGTCACTTGGATTGCATTAAGCACATCCTCCTTCTCCTCCTCCTCTCCCTCTTTTTCCTCCTATGCATATGCCGAAGTGCCTTGGTGGTAGCTGACACTGGTGGTCGTGCTCCTCCCATGCAAGTGACTACGTACGGTAAGTGCGGTAATGTGAGATCCGCTTCAAGTGTTTCCCTATCTGATGGACTACGGTGCCACAACTAACTCCAGACACCACGTCGTCTTGCCGTGGAACGGCAGACCAGACATTGGTGGCCCCGAGCGTGCTCATTTGTTGGTTCGAGGTTAGACAGTGGTAGATGGAGGTGGGCGCGTGTAGAGCAAGGTGTGGCACATTTGTCTATGCAGGAGTCAGTGCATAGCACAACTTGCCATCCTGTTTGGCATTGGTGGTTCTGCATGACCTGAAAGGCATGTTTCGATGTGTTAACCACAATAAAGCGCACGTGTGAGGTGTTCGAAGTAGATAGTTAGCGCCAACTTGGACCCCAAAACCCCACCCCACCTGATGTGACCTGATATGCTTCGGCAATGCATCGACTGACATGTGGAGCATCACGGCAGCACGGCACATTGGAGACACACACACATGGTCTGAGCTGGTGGAGGAGGGGAGCCTCTCACACACACTTCAAGGTCTGTAGTAGGGAATCCAAGTGAGCAGCGTATATCATCCAACGAGTCGCATTTGCGTGGGCATGGAACAACTTCGCCCTTGTCAACATTTGCAAGGGAAACCCGTCCAAACTTGCCTTTGCTTATTGACGCAGGTGCAAGGTCATCTGTGTGAGGGCATGGTTTGTGGAATA